ACTGTATTTTTCAGCGAAATATACGAACAATTGTATTTTCTCAGTGCAATAAATGAACAACTGCATCTTCTCAGTAGAATAAATGAACAAACTGTACTTTTTCAGCGGAATAAAGAACAATTGCATCTTCTCAATAGAATAAATGAACAATTGTATTTTCTTAGTGGAATAAAAAAAGAACAACTGTATTTCTCAGTGGAATAAAAAATGAACAACTGTATTTCTCAGTAGAATAAATGAACTACTATTTTCTCAGTGGAATAAATGAACAACCGCATCTTCTCAGTAGAATAAATTAACAATTGTATTTTTTAAGTGGAATAAACAAACTGTTTTTCTCAATAGAAGAAACGAACAATTGTATTTTCTCAGTGGAATAAGCAAATAACGGTATTCTCTTAGTGAAATAAATGAACACGTATTTTCTCAGTGGAATAAATGAACAATTTATTTTCTTAATAGAATAAATGAACACGTATTTTCTCAGTGGAATAAATGAACAGCTGTATTTTCTCAGTCACAAAGTACATAAAAACATCATGTGTCCCTAACTCACATGAACAATAACAACAGAAAAGTAAACAGGCGTATCTGATAAAAAAAAGTTTTTATTTCAATGTTTCACAAAATTTCATTTTAAATCATTGGCATATTATTTTGAACCTATCAGTTCTTCCAACGGTTTTCCCCTCCCGGCTGATACTTCAAAGTCTGACCACTCTAAGATTACAAAATCTCAGTCTGGATGGCAAGATAATAGGACAAGTCCAAATACCCTGTTCTCAACCTACAAAGAAGATATAATTGGAGCATCTGTAATGGCTAGACCATCCAATGTAAGCTGCAGTCCTGTGCAGATAAGAATGACTGACATGACTGTCAGTAACACACAAAGAAGATGAATATCTGGCTTCCATCATTTGGAACTCTGAACTTGGACTAGTTTAGTTGAGTCGACAGATCAACAACATGGCACACGGGTGAAACCTATAAGTGCTCCATTAGACTTCTAACTCATAATACGGAATTCAGGATACCAACATGACTAGACGTGCAGAAAATATCACAATTTTCATAGCACACTGTGATTGTGTATATACTATCCATTGATGCAAACCCTCCCCGAGCCTGCCATCACCGATGGGTTTTTTCTAACAAAGATGTAACATGCAGAATCTCCAGTTTGTGTCTGCCTACAAAAGTCTCTAATGTAAAGCCCACATTAACAAACTTCATTAGCTAAATCTTTTGTAACAGTGATTTGGGAACTTCAGTCCGTTTAAAAAGTCCTGCCCAACTTAAAAAGACTAACTCAGAAACAGTTCAGAGGAAAGTTAATGCAATTTGGCATGCAACTTTTGAAGAATCGTGTCCTTGCAAGAATGTTTTTTTGTTTTGTTTTATGTAAACAGTGGGCTCTGTGGCTTAGTCAATGCGAACGCTTCGTAATGCCGGGGTTCTGGGTTCGATCCCAGCTGCGGGCCGTGCGCCTTGCATTGATTTCGACAGTGGTATCAGGGGCCGACCATCCAGAAAGCAATGGCAAACTACTGGACGTAAATTTGCCACGAGAAACCACACAACAGCCAGGGGCTGTTGGGGTTGGTTCTGCAACATCCTGTAAAGGATACACAACTAACCTTTTTTTTTATGTAAACAAGCATCTAGTTTTAATTTTTCTCTTATCTGGAAAAACAGACACTGATTCAAAGCAAAAAATGGCTTATAGTTGAGTAATGGGAACTTTTCAAAACAGCAAAATGCACGCATGTCACAAGCGTTTCACTCTTAGGTGGTCATTCCCAACATTAGTTTCCTGTGAGTTGTGGATTTTTCCTTGTATGCCGGCTAGGCTATGAAAATAATCCTCACACATCGCTGCAAATGTGAACTGATTTCTAAGCAATCTCCACAAGTGATCAAATACTGTGTATTCTATTTTTTTTTAGGAGCACACAGCTTATTAGTAAAACAAATATCAAAGAAATTTTGTTTGAGAAAACAGCAGCATCTGTGGAACTTTAAATAATAAAAGACACGAGAAATCTAAGGCCACACGCACAAATGGGTATAGAACCATACAGGAGTTTTCTAGACATTTGTTTCAGTGTGAAGGCACGAGTTCCAAAACACACTTTAGTTCCTCAGAATCAATCATCAGTGTCAAGTCCACTTTTCATGCCCAAGACTGCAATAAAGTGCTGTGAACTAACCTACTCCCATGCCTTTTTTATGGTGAATACTGTACCACCGCTGAGAAAGTGGGGACACGAGTGCTTATATCCAGAACTGTTTAAGAAAAATGAGTGCCTTTATCCAGAAATTGCTTCAGAAAAAAAAAAAGTGTCGATATCCAGAAACCATTTAAGAAAATAAGAGTGTGTATAGCCAGATTTGTTTAAGAAAAAAAGAGTGATAAAATCCAGAAACTTTGAGAAAAAGTGTCCTTGGTTTGTCTCTACTTATCCGAGAATTATCATTTCAGCGCAACATTCGCTGGCAGATTCCGAATCATCAACACTACGGGTTTGGTTTTCCTCATTAGACATGATAAAAAGGCTCAATATGCGCTGGCAAACAAAATTATCAAAATTTAACTGAAAACAACATCTGTATCGGCTCACAAGTGATAACAACCGTAGGCGCAGGCATCTTAGAATAATAAAAATACCTGGATGAAGCTCAATTAAAAAACTATGGGTAAGGCCGTCTGTTTGCAGTCTACATGTCACAAGTTTGCAAATCGTCAAAATTGGTCATCAAAGGATATATTCAGAAATTCGCAAATCATTGAAGTTGGTCAGCAAAATGTTAAAGGTGTAACCAAAGCCAAAATTAATTTACAAATAACTTCAGCAAATCACATGGCCACAAAAAGGCAAATGCATTCTTTGCTCTGCCAACAATTATCAATTTTATGTTAGATAATAAATGGCTATTCAAAGAAAGCATAAATAGTTAATAAATATCCAGTCCCCTTGAAGAAATGGCTATATAAGTTGTATTTACCAGCCCATTCTGGAATCAAATGACCCTGGTCCTGCATCCTGATAGACGGATGGATCAAACCTGTTTCTGGCAATAGCTCTGGCTGATGGGTTCAGCTCCCGTCTGACAGAAGTCTCATGTGAATACGTCTCTGCTGGATGATCACCAGGATAGTGAGGGAAGCGCTGACCTCCTTGCCAACTGTCATAACCAGAAGAGAGGCTGTTGCGAGGAGGTTCATTCAACACCCTGGTGTGTGAAGGGATTGGCTCATGTCTGACAGAAGTCTCATCTGAATATGTATTTGCTGGATGATCACGAGGATGTTGAAAAAAGCGCTGACCTCCATGCAAACTGTCATAACCAGAAGAGAGGGTGTTGCGAGGTTGATTATTCACCCCTCTCCTATGTGATGGTAATTGGGAGTTGTCTAAACAGAATGAGTGAGTGGTATTGGAAATCTGCGGAGAATAACCGGAAGTTCCAACTGCAGTTCTTTCAAATTCAGTTCCACTCATCCGCACAGATGGATCAAATCTGTTTCTGGAACTTACTGTGGCTGATAGTATCGGATCCTGTCTGGCAAAAGTATCATCTGAAAATGTCTTTGCTGGATGATCACGAGGATGCTGACGGAAGTGCTGACCTCCTTGTAAACTGTTATAACCAGCAGAAAGGGTGTTGTGAGGAGGTTCACTCAACGCACTAGCATGTGATGGTAACTGGAGGTTGTCTGAACCAGACAACTGAGCTGTACTGGAAATCTGTGGAGAATAACTGGAAGTCCCAGCTACAGGCCCTTCTGATGGAGCTCCACTCGTCTGCGCATCAATGCCATGCTGCATCAGCAGCTGAGCTAGGGCAGCTTTCACTCCTGCATATCTGTCCTCATTGTCAGCTGGAGGTCCTGTTTGGTCTGAATCCTGTGGCAAACTAACATTAGCATCAGTGTCCCTATTTGAAGAACAGCTTTCAGATCCAGCCTGTCCTTTGACTGCAAAATTGTTACCTTGCTTTGGCACATTCGACAGTTCTGGGAATCCTCCGTGGTTTCCAGTGCCAAATAAACCGTGCCTAGCAGAAAGTGGCTCTGGCAGAGCAGAATTAGCAAGCTCTGAAGAAACTGAATTCCTCTGCATTCCTGGTGCTGCCTGGGCAAACTGATTTGTCACAAAATTCATTAACATAGCTGTCTGATCATTGACACCAATGTTCAGACTACAAAGTGCCTGAGTCAACGGCATGTTTTGCTGAGCAAGCTGAAGTGAAATAAAATTGGCCAAAAAAGCCTGTACAGCTCTGACATTGTTCTCCATGGGTATCTCTCTCTGATTACCTCTACCATCTGTCTGTCCTGGGCGTCCAATAGAACTATGAGACATCAAACTCTGTGACTGAGCTTGATTATCCCTGTTTCCTGGAAAATTAACAGCTTCCGCATTTCTTTGATTTTTTTCCCATTCTAAGAGTCGAGATTTTTTTATCATTCCTGGCGTGACTATATTTATCATCTTTGTTTGTCTGCCATTCAGTAACTTTTTTTGTCCGACATTCAGCCCTGGTTTCTCTATAGGGTTCTGAGAAACCAAACAGGACGGCTGATCTAAAGCATCTCTGCTGTTTCCTGGTGAAGAATTAGCTTTTATTTCTTGTACATCTGTCTGTCCTGGTGCTGTCAAGGCTTTCTGAGGAATCAAACTAGATGGCTGAGCTAAAATATCTCTGCTGTTTCCTGGTGAAGAATTAGTTTTTACTTCCTGTTCATGTGTCTGTTCTGGTGCACCCAAGGGTTTCTGAGGAATCAAACTTGGCAATACAGCTTGAACACTTTTAGTATTATCTGGCAAAGATGATGTATGTTTTGCCTGTTTGTCTTTTGACTCTGATTCTTCAGATTTCAAAGAAAGCAAACCAGGCTTCTCATTCTGGCTGTTGCCTGGAACAGATAATCCACTTTGCTTTCTAGTGACTTCTTGCTGCACTAATCCAACATCCGTACTAAGAATACTTACATCTTCTGTATCTAATACCTGGTCACTGTTTATTTCAGAACGGTCATAATTTCTCCAAGAAATTCTTGATTCTGGCCTCTGTAGTAACACATTACGTACTTTATTAAATACATCCTTTATTCCCTTCTTTCGATTCTTGCACCACAACTCATGACAATCCTGATCTCTAGGCAAGCTGCAAACAAAGACATACAATCAGGAAATAAATCTCTAGGCAAGCTGCAAACAAAGACATACAATCAGGAAATAAATCTCTAGGCAAGCTGCAAACAAAGACATACAATCAGGAAATAAATCTCTAGGCAAGCTGCAAACAAAGACATACAATCAGGAAATAAATCTCTAGGCAAGCTGTAAACAAACACATACATTCAGGAAATAGATCTCTGGGCAAGCTACAAACAAAGACATACAAACGGGAAAAATTCAATCTATGCTCATATCATTACTGTAAAATCTGTGAGAAATATATAATATGTACTCTACTGCATCAGACTTTTTGACCCCACTAATGTAAATGCTTGTAGACAACTTATCACAAACATCAGAAAGAGACATCATCTTTTTGGGGTCATGTTATGAGAAGAGGAAACAAATGAAACATGTGACCACTGGAAAGATCTGTGGAAAGAAAGACAGAGGAAGTCAACGTGAGAAGATTCATGACAACCTTTTGTTATTGCATGAAGGAGTGTCAGCACACAAACTGATACACACAGTTGCAGATCGCAGATTGAGGAGAGGCATGATCACCCACGCTAGTCGGCAAGGCACTTGATGATGATGAATGTAGTCATCTTTCTCTGTTTACTAAGTTCATTTATTAATTTCTGTTATGGTCGTAAGTACAACTGGTAGCAAGTCGAGAAGACAGTGTTCATTTTTCTATCTATCTTACTCTGCCTTTCCTGCTTTGTATTTCCCCATCAAATGCAGATTTCTCTATTCCCTCCTTTCTGTTGGTATGCCTCATAAATATTATATGTCCTTTCCTCATGGTTTTTATGAGTATTCAAGTGACACAGGTATATCTCAGCATCTCTTTTATCTGGCCACGATATATTTTCAACAGTCTTAAAGCTAACATCTCTATGCCTCCACAGAAGAGTACCAGAAATGCCTCTACTGTTTCAGCTCGACAAAAGCTTTCTCCAAACTGCACCTTCTGTTGGCTGAGAAAGGCCATGCATACATCCACAATTCAGGAGACCATCTATCAACCATGATCTGCAGACAGCTTTGTACTAAAGCTTAGCATGGCACCCTTTTATCCTGACAACGGAAAACTGTTGCCGAAGACAGCTCACAACCATCAATGTTGATGGGGAAGACATGGGGAAACACCATATTAAAATACCCCAAAATCACTTTATGCAGAGTCGCAAGCATCACTTCAGAGCACCCGGGTAGTTAGCATCCTTTAGATATTCTCTCCAGGTTATGCCAGTGTGCTGGGAAATGAGCAGGCAGACAGACAGGCCTTTTCTACACCACTTGGTGGTGCACTGATGTATAAAAAGCTAGATGTTGTGAAGGGCCTTTGGGAGCGAGTGAACTACGTGGAAGCGCAAATAGATCATTATGGTCTGAGGAAAATGGCACTGCGAGGAGTTACCGGGGGATCTGGCCGATGCTCAACACTGGAGGGAAGGACGAGATGGATATACAATCAAACAGTTACTGGTACCAATGGAACTGGACCTCTTCATTTGCTGCTGAAGATGGGGGGCCGGAGCGCTTATGGGAGTGTCCAGAGTGTTATGATGTTGATTCTTAATTCAACATTCAACACTTTGTCAGCTGCTCTTGCACCTAGAAAGGAGGATGGATGTGTTCAGAATTGTCCTGCCAGAGCTTGGACTGGTTAACCCAATATGCCATCGTTTCTTTTCAGGTATCACACAAAAAAGTCCCATGTACTTCATAATTCATCACTTATAAATAATAAGACTAATCATAAACGAAACAATACTTACAGAAAGTGATACAACAGTGTGCACAGTTCATTTAAAAACTACTGTAAGAGTACAAACAACTTCGATAAAGTGTTCTCAATGTATCCTATTGAAAGCCAACATCTTTTCCTCATCTCTTGATTTAGTGCAGTTTTAGTTCTCTAGTTCTCTCTGAATTAGCATTTCTACAATACCATTCAATTCCCTACATTCTGCACAGGCACCAGTTAATGAATTTTTTTTTTTAGTTTATTAGTACCTGTTTGTCCTTTATGTTTCTGCTTCCAACAGCAGCACTTAAATGACATTAATTCACTTGCTGTAAATAAATAATGTACTGGTTCTGTTTGCACCTGCACAGCATTCAGGAGGTCCAATATCTGATTACAGTTACTAAAAATAGCACTGTGGATGTGGGAGAGGGAGAGCATTCATTGATTTGGGGGGGGGGGGGGGGGTGGCTTTTTAGCCATCGCTGCATCAAAATTATTTCTGATTTGAAATTTTTTTTTTCAATTCTTTTTTATTCCAATGGTTATGTGACGTCGGGTCAGACATAAAAGAAACTGGCACTTGAGAGTCACAACTTACTTAGGAGGTGGAATTCTGTCTGGATCAATGTCTCTCAGCCAAGGTGAGTGAAGCGCTTGTTCAGCAGTACATCTTCGGCTGGGGTCTAGTTCTAGCAGATGGTCCAAGAGATCCAGTGCTGGCCTAGGAAGTCTGAAATGTATGCAACAATGACAGGGGTTTCCCTATGTCCCCTTACCAGCCAGACAAAGGGCAACCCCCACAAGAACAAGAAAACATCACAAAAATTGGTCAAGAAGGGTAACATGACACAAATGGGGTATGCAGACGTCGGAAATTTAGATCTTTTAACCCATACTGCACTAAAAAGGCCAAATCAAGCCACCTCCAGTAGTGACATCTGTAACTGCCGACATACGACCTTTTATGAGGCTTTTGTTAGCAAGGGAAACAAAGTGTGTCGTCCTAACAGGCAGAATTCATGTATGATCTGGCAATATTGTAATGTCATCTGATTGGCAGATGACAAGTAATCCACCTCACAGGAGCCCCACATTCAGTATAAATATAGTGACTACAAAATAGCATTTAGGCTAATGGCTTTTATAAAACCAAGGTGATGTCAAATTTTACAGTAAGCCCCACAGTGATAGAGTTCATGGCATGGTCACCTAACACATTTTGTGGGTTTTTATGCCCTATTCCATTTAAATGCTTCACTATGTTCATGTTTATTTATTCCCCTTTCTACATCTTCATATATTTTGGAGAAAATTTTTTTTAAATACAGATGAATATATATTTTTTCCTTTTATTTATTAGCAACCTGTTATATGGTGTTTTTGTTTTCTGTGTGTGTAGAATTTTGTCCAGAAATCCCTATGGGTTCATACCCCTTTTTTTACACAGGGTGAAAGGATTCGTTATCAAACTGAACACATCTTCTGATCCGGTTAAATCACATGTGGTCTGCTGACTTCTAGTGATTGTCACGTGATCTAACCTTTTCTGGTGACTGTCATACATTTTGCCATCTTTTAATTATATGCAAGTAGTCTATTCTGGTCTGATGATCTTAACATGAAAATATAATTTCCACTGACGTTTACATTATTTATCAACTTCTGGTGAGGCTTTTAAAGGTGACAGAAGCCGAGTTGAGCTGAGTTCTAAATCAAGGATGGTACCTGTCGCAGTCTGATTGAATGTCTTTCTTGCCTTTCATCTGAGTGTTGAGTTTGTCCCCCTTTCAATGGGTTGCTGCTTTCGCTGCATCATTCTCTGCAGATTGAATGATCTATTTACACTTCTGCATTGTTCCCTTGCTAACAAAAGCCTTGATCATACAAAGCTCATCATTAATCAAACCTCCACCCAATAGCATAATACGCATAGTACCAGCCAATCTGTTTCTGTATTAATTTCCCAACACACCTGTGTGATCCCCAAGAAAAGATGCAAAGGATGCTAACTACTTTGGACATGTGAAGCGATGCTTACCACACTGTCAAGCACATGTATTTCTCCACCTTTATCAGCAAAAAAGTGTTAGAATCATTTCTGTGTGTAGGTGGTTCTCAGGCCAGCAAACAATTGCTGTCTGCTTCTATCTCTATTATCAAACTAGATGTTTCAGTCCATTCACTTTTGAAAATTAACCTTCATGCACCTTTTTTATGCAGAACCAACCCAGCATTTTTTGGCTGTTTGGTTATACTAGGCAAATTTACATTCATTAGTTTGCCACTGCTTTCCAAACGGTCAGCCCTCCACATCACTGTTGAAATCAACTCAAAGCAATCGACTGCACTGCAAATCCCCTGCAACTAAATCAAACTGGATACCTCTGAATTACAAAGCATGTTTGCGTTACCTCGGCCACATTAATCTACATAAGCAATGAATAAAAGGCAATTAAAAAGTAGGCTAAAGGGTTCTGAAAACAATGAGCCTGCTTGACAGAAAAGAATATTCCTACGAGATTAGAAAAATTATACTTACACGGCAAAATCTTCTCTCAGCCTTCTCCTATGCTGCCGCTTGGGCTTAAAGCTGTGAAACAGAGGTAACTTAATGACTTCTGGCCAGACAGCCGGACAAGGGGAGCCACAAACCTGACTAATCAACTCTAGTTGTGCAAACTCCTCTTTCCCTTGGAACATTGGCTTCTTCGTGAACAGCTCACCCAAAATGCAACTTTTGTGAAATGGAGGAAAATTTACACAAGGATACATGTTTTTTACAAGGTTAACTGATTCAGAAAAATGTTAAACTACTTATATAAACAGACTACATTCTATAAAACCATAGGTTTTGAGTTTTTTCAATTGTCTGTCCACAGACCACCACAAACCGTCCAATCATGTAGCAGCTAGGATGATGCTAGTGTTACACTGCTGGGTTATTTATTAATATTCTACCCCAGGTTATGTCACAGGACAGAACAACATTTTAGAGGGTGGTAAGACTGGGTTTCCATCCTTTCTGATGCTTTTAACAATCCCAAAACATCTACAACTGGCTCTAACCCAACCCATCAACGTCACACGAGAGGGTACAACCTATGTACCACGATTGCATGCAGCCTAGGTTCCACGACTGCATGCAGCCTATCTACCACCCCCTGAAATATTTATTAGATTGTCCCGTGACCTATGGACTTCCCCTGTTTGGGGTAGGATATTAACACAGCACCCACTGTTGCACTGATTTAATAATCTCTTAACACCGGCAGATGTCAAATAAGCTAAACATTGTAATTATCCGACATCAGATTCACAAGTGACCTGCTGTTTACACTTTTTTCTTTAGCTTTGAGACGGTCCACACAACAATTTCCCCCTGTTATGCTGGTTCACCGGTGTGAACAGGTTAAAGAACACTAGCATAAGGTAACAGCCTGTTCCACAGAAACTTCAAATATTTTTTGCTAATTTCATCACAAACTGGATGATGATGATAATCTGGATGAAGTGTGGCTGGTTTTGGACAATGTAAGCCTCTCTCCAAAACCAAGGAAGTGTCAGACTTTGTTGGTAAGACAATGCCCACTTTATTATTTCTATACTCTTCATTGATAATCACCACTAAAAACGGTTCTCAGTTCCCGAAAAATGAAGTGTTGTGCAAAAGATATTGTGACTGGTCATTCAGATCCTTAACAGTTAGTGAATGTTGTTAATCATTCAGATTGGCATAACTATTTTATAACTATCTTAAATTAGCGTGAACAAGTGCGAGAGAATTATTATAAATGCCGCTATAAGCAAGTATTTATGATGTTATAAAGGCATTGTGTGTTCATCATTACACACATACAATAAAACATGCAATTTTAAAAATAACTATAGTTAGACCATTATATATTACAGTAACATTTGTTATATATCCTCTACAGGACCTGGCAGAACCAATTACAGCAATTGTTGTACTGTTTTTGGTTCTAATAGGCAATTTTATTGCTTTCTGCTTCCTGAACATTTGGCTCTAGATACCAGTGTTGAAAGTGGTCTGCTGCCAAACCACTCACAGCTGGAATCGAACCAGTGTATCATGGAATTCCAAAGAACATTCTTAACAAATTAAGCCACAGATGCCAAATTTTATAACAATAAGTTAGGAAAACTTTTTCGCAGATAACTTGATCTGTAAAAGATCAACCTTCATTTTTGAAAAAAAAATTAATGAATATATTTTTTTGTTTTTCTTTATGAACAAGATGAATTTGCCGTATTAATCAAGGAGTAGCAACTCATGTCAATGTCTCCAAAAGTGAACTTACTCGTTATAAATGAAATTACTAACTCTTTCCACCTTAAACAGCTATGTTAGTTACTCAATGATACTCCTGACTCAGAAACATAGCTTATTCTGACACAACTAAAGAGAGTTAAGAAACTGGTCTGATTAATGAATGCACAGAGGAAGATGATGCAAGAAGATTCCTGACAACCTTGTGCCATGGCATGGAGAGGTGTCAACATAAACTGATACACGCAGCTGTAGATCACAGATTGTGAAGAGACATATAATCTCAGCAAGGCACTTGTTGATGATGGAAACACGTAACACTAAAAAATAAGTATAACATGAAACAAAATGTTCAACTGTTATTAATGAAACATGACTACCTACATACCCCAAGCTCCACAAATCAACAGCTGGGCCGTATCTTTCCTCACCAAGTAGCAGCTCTGGGGGTCGATACCATAATGTGATGACTTTATTGGTGTACAAACGATCTTTGTCTTCAGCGTGATAGTATCTGGCCAGGCCCAGATCTCCGAGCTTGATCTGACCACTAACAAAGGAGACAAACAGAGGTCAGAAACATTTTGTTTTCTTTATATCCTTGTTACTGTACCCAATTTTAGGCTGGATCACAAGGGAGCCTTCAGTCTGTCAATTCTACCATCTTCTGTGATCATACTTCCTAGATATTTAAACTCCCTAACTTGATTCAGAGCAGAACCATTCAGCTGTATGTGTAGTGGGGCAGGGGTTCTACTAACTTGCATTGTTTCGGTTTTGTTTACATTAATTTTCATGTTGTATTTACTGCATGCTGAGTTTAATCTGTTAATGTGGTCTTGCAGTCTATCTTCTTCAGGGTAGAACAAGCACTGGTCGTCAGCAAATAGTAGTTCGTTTAATGTGGGTGAATCACAGTTATATAAACCCTGTTGGACAGGAGTGACATGGACAAGGTCTGGTGGTGAAGGAGGGAGTGAAGCATGTGGTGCTTGACTTGAGCCAGTGCAACCACAGTGGACGAGAGGTTCAAGGGTTGGAAATTGGTGGCTTAAGTTGGAACCTCATTAATATATATGCCACAGTAGACTGTTTTGTCAGAAGTGAACAATGTAGCTGGCTCAAGGAATTGGAGGAGTTACCAGGTGATAGGTTACTCATATGTGGGGATTTCAACGCGAGGAACAGAGAATGGGACAGCAGTGGAGAAAACCGACAGGGTATTGCTCTTGCAGAGGCCATGGTTGACTCCGATATGGTCTGCATCAATGATGGGAGGCCGACTAGGATGGCAACGAGGTCTGGAGATGCAGACACAGCCATTGACTTGACATTTGTCTCTCAGTCGTCAGTTTTAGATGTTAAATGGACTGTCCTGAATGACCATGGGAGTGATCACCTACCATGTTCAGTCTTGATTTCTAAACTCAGTAAGGTTAAGGTTGGGAGAGCACACAAGACCTTCCAGTATAAGTGGACCAACAACCTACTTGGACGCCTCAGACGGGGAGCATGCAAAAGAACTGCCAGAACTAATTTTCTACAGCCCCATGCTGGACTCCAGAAGTAGAACAGGCGTGGAAGGCAAAGAGAGTCGCAGTGAAGCAGCTAAAGAAAGTACGACAGACACCCTCAAGCTCACGAGAGGAAGTGGAGATGGCGGAGAATGTGAAAAAAGATAAGGTGGAGGTTTTCAAACGCTGTGCTGCAGAGGCCAAAAGAGCAAGTGGGAAACTTTTGTGAATGATATGGGAGGCGATAAAACATTGGGGAAATTCTGGAAACTGCAAAGGCAGATGCAAAGAAAAGATCGGCCTATGACAGACGGAACAATTTGTAGAGACGATGGTGTGCGTGTGACAACAGACAAGGAGAAAGGGGAGGCTTTTCTCCATAGGTTTATAGCTCAGACAGATCATAATGATGTAGACATCAGGGATGCAGTTAGAAAGGAGTTAGCTGGCACCTTGAAGAATATGTATTATGAAGACATGATACAAGTGGAAGATATCTGATGGTGTCAGGTATGGTCACATGAAGGCTTTGAGTGATATAGACCTGGCAGAGATGGCTGACTGTTTTAACCAGAGTATTAAGACAGCATCAGCACCGCAGGACTGGGTGCACAGCTATCTAATCCCACTACCAAAACCTTTTAAAGATCATTCTAAGCTTAGTGGCTTTAGAATCATCACTTTACAAAACACATTTGGGAAAGTCTTGGAGAAGATAGTTGCTGTAAAGTTACAAGAATTTTTGGAAAGGGGGTAGCTTCTCCCAAGAGGTCTGGGAAGTTGCAGGCCAGGAAAGGACACTTGGGCAAATGCGGCCACTTTTGCTTTTGACGTCTATGAAGGGTTCCAGAACAGACAGGAAACTATGGCGGTAGGACTGGATCTCGAGGATGCTTATAACAGAGTGAGATACGACATCTTAATGACTGCAATGAGGGTGAAGGAGGTCAATCCATGGCTGGTGAATTGGGTTGCAGTTGTCCTGTATTCACGTCGGGTTGCTCTCCGCCTGTGCTCTTCAACGTGAATACGAGCAAGATTGCAAGCCTAGAAGCACCAGGAGTTGGATACTGACTTTTGCGGATGATATACATGCATATAGGCAGGGGAAAGAGAGGGAACAAACAGCTCGGGAGCTACAAGCGACAGTAGACAAAGTGACTGAGTGGTGTACAAAAATTAGGGCTGTCGTCCACCCGGAAAAGGCGTCTGTTTTGTGGTGTTCTCTGGACAACTGAATCGTTAAAACGAATGTCCCAAGTCTCACGATAGATGGTAGAGACGTCAACAGAGAGAGCAAACTGAAGTATCTGGGAATTAAATTTGACAGGAGCCTGTCATTTAAGGACCATGTGGAGAGTGTTTTGGCGAGATGCCAAAAAGGACTGAGTGCACTTAAGACTATGACTGCAATTGACATAGAACAGAGAATGCTTTTCACACTATATCAGCACCTGATCCTGTCAGTGGTGGATTATGGCCTGGGACTGCTTACCGTCTCAAAGAGTCAGATGGACAAACTAGAGCGCATACAGAACGCGGCTATGCGGGTCATTCTGGGTTGCACCAGAGACACCCCAGTGGTGTGTATGCGATACATCCTTGGTTTGCGGACGGTTGCAGGTAGGCACAAGGTGCTGCAGGCAAATTCATATCTCAGGGTAGCTGCAGACACAGACAACCCCCTGCATGAAGCTCTGGGTGCAGTTAAGGGTCAGCAGCCGATAAGAGGGAGGACATGGATGGCTCAGGCAGAAGACACAATCAAACAGGTTTGCATCCTTGAGAACATTAGGCGAGGAGAGGAGTGGGTCAAAGTGCCACCTGAGCAGTCAGACTTGTGTAGAGTCATAATCACACTGAGCCGGGAATGCAGAGACTGGCCAGCAGGTGCCACAGAGGTGGAGATTCAGCAGTTAATTCAAGATAATGCTCGCTCAGAGGATCTGATCATTTACACAGATGGTTCAGTGTCAAGAGGCAAAAGAAGTGCTTGGGGCTTTTAAGCAAAAGTTAATGGTCGACGTTTAGTGCAGGAGAGCCTAGCATATACCACAACATCCAGCTTAAGAATCGAGGTGGAGGCGGTCACTGCAACTTTCCGCTAGCTATAGAACACGACAAACACACACATCGTGATTGTAACTGATTCAGAAAGCACGCTGAGGAAGATCAGAACAGGTATGCTTTGTGCAGAGTGGCATGCTTCGCTGCGGAGGACACGAGTGAGGAGTATTGTCTGGATTTTTTAACCGGGTCACGCCGGTGTGTTGGGAAATGAACAGGCAGATAGACTGGCTGGCTCTGCACAACTTGGTGGAATACTGCTACATGTTAGGGCAGACGTAGTTAGTGCCTTGTGGGAGAGCGTGTACAATTCGGAGGAGCAGATGGATCACCACAGTCTGGTGAGACTGATGCAGTTGGGGGTGACGAAAGGTTCTGGCAGAAGCTCAAGGCTCAGAGGAAAGGCAAGACGGACGTTTAATCAGAAAGCTACTGGCACCATTAGTATCGGAACTCTTCGCTGGTTGCTGAAGATGGGGACGGAGCGCTTATGGGAATGCCCTGAGTGCTGTGATGTCGGTTCTTGAATCAAATCAAATCATGTGGGTGAATCGATAACTTCTCCTGATGTGTGTACTTCCTCATGATTATAAAGATCTATGTTTTCTGTATCAGAACTTGCTTCTTTAGATATTCTGTCTATGTTGCATTTACTTAACTAAATGCCACCATCTGGTACTAAGTTAGTTTCCAACTTTTCTCATCTGATCACACTGAAGAATCTTTGGAGTAGGTTGTAAATTCTTGGTCATGCCTTACTAGGGTGGCGTAATATTAGTGCACACGCTTGCCATTAAAGTGGTCCAGATCCAATCCCCCGGCAGGGGGCATGGTTATCATTTTCAACCAGTATGGCTCTCTGACTGACCTAGCCTCACAAAACAGACACAGGGTCTAGACTTAGACTAAGTTCTGTTCCGACTAGCAGGAACAAGTTTTCTGGGAATGGAAGGTGTTGAGATAGAAACACGGACACCCAACCTCATTATGCTATCCTAGAATATGTGAAAGCCGCCATGGCGTCAGGGCTAGACGCTGGCCTGCAGAACAGAATGTTGTGTGTTGGGGTCCGGACAGAGCTGTACTTTTATTTTAATGATCTTAGCACCCATGCTGACCCAGTCTTAAATGGTACTAGGTTAAAATCCTGGGAAGTAAAGGCGGTCAGCGTGATGCTGACCACGTCACCAACCAAGTACCGACTGGTCTATAAAATATAAGTCTGGCCCTATAAGCCAGGCAGGCAGGCCTCCTGAAGGTATGGAAAAGGGTACTTTACTTCTACTTATACTTTACACCTCAACAGCAGTCGGAACCATGCCTCGTAAACTGACACCAGACAAATACCAGACAATTGTCAGAATTATGTCACACTTGATAATTTTAGATTCAGCTTCATAACAAACGGGTCACCCCATAGTTGCTCCACTCCTGTGCAAATGAATAACACACAGAATTTCCATGACTGTCCCTTGTGGAAAAATTGACACAGACTTCAGTCTCAGCATATCCACACACTAAAAGCATAAGGCAGTCATCAGAAGTGCTAATACAAACAGATCAGCAGCTGCCCAGGTGATCAATTTTAATCGTATAAGGCACCATCAATTTTGTGGCAACAGGCCACGCTCCAGTTTCTGAATCTACAGTTCAAAACACAATGCTGGTCAGTCGAAAACGATTCCAAATGAAATCTGCAGCTTAGTGTCCCGAATGGCACTCATTTCAAAATCTGGGGGGGGGACAAAATTATATGCTTTCAGTCTACAAATAGAGCGAAATGCAACGGCCACCGTCTGTCAAAAGCAAAAAATTATGTCGCGACTAAAAATAATGATTGTGCCTATCACCCATTTTGACGAGAAACCTTCACTGGTACACTATGGTGGACTCCATTTTACTTTACTTGACAACAGCAGTTGGAACCATGCCTCAAAAAACTGATACCAGACAATAGTTATAATTTTCTTGGAACTATCTGGGAAGGAAATATGGTGAGCAAGAAAATTGGCCACCCATTTCAATGTAATCGCCTAAAAGTCAGAGATGGGTTAGTGAAGACTGATGTCTGGCTGTAATGATGACGGCATACGGCTAGAATACTGAATGTGGGGCTCCTGTGAGGTGGATTACTTGTCATCTGCCAATCAGACGACATTACAATATTGCCAGATCATACAATTAATTCTGCCTGTTAGGACGACACGCTGTTTCATGAATGGCATATTCATTTTGGGCAATAATAAAATAAGTCTCACAATTTAACTCTCAGGTTGTGTGTAATGATTACCTGTTGTTTAACAATATGTTGGAACACTTGATGTCTCTATGTAAAAAGTTCTTCTTGTGACAGAAATCCAGCCCCTGCAAGAGCTGCTTCATGAACGAGGCTATATGCAGATTACTGAGTATCATCAAACCTGGCTCCAGCAGCCCCATCAGGTCATGATCCATGTACTCAAAGACTAGATAGAAGGAACCTGTCAAATGGAAAAACAGAAAGAGAATAAAATATGAAGCTGATAAATAAAAGACATCTTTTTCTTCTTCTTCACATCCACAGGCTGTAAACTCGGATGGAAAGTTCTGGTTGTTTGCCCAAATCTGGACTCTAGTCTTGTTCTAGAACTTCAAAGGAAATCCCCAATTAGTCTACTCTTACGACAAACTTATCGGAGAAGGAAGTGGGTCTGTTCTTGTTTTCCCTACAATGAGGCCCCAGAACCCACACAGGGATCCATATACCATCTTCCACTCTTTCAGTACCATAAGGCTTGGCAGGAGATTGCTCAAGGAGAGATGGGATATAGCAGTTATAAAGCCATGACTGTAGGCTCTGTGGCTACGTCGATGCGAACGCTTTGTAATGCCGGGTTCGATCCCAGCTGCAGGCCATGCGCCTTGCGTTGGTTTCGACAGTGGTATCAAGAAAGCTGACCGTCCAGAAAGTAATGGCAAACTACTGGACGTAAATTTGCTTAGAGAAACCACACAACAGTCAGGGGCTGTTAGGGTTGGTTCTGCAACGTCCTGTAAAGGATACGCAACTAACCTTTAAAGCCATGACTGCATCAATTTCACAGACTAACTTTGCAATGAAAGTGACCAAATGTTTAAGTAAACTGTCCCGAGACATAAATAAACACATAATGCAATGGCTGGGATTGATGTGGACATATGATAAGAGACCATCACAGACCAGGCATTACTTGGAACTCAAAGCGTTGATAATTTAGTTGATGGAACTTTTCTTCTTTGCCAGATTATAGTGTTATACTGTGTTATAGGAAGGAGTGACAATCATAGCCCATGGCCACCAATGAAGGTCAGGGATAAAATTCCTCCTGTACACAGCAAAAAACCTGGAAAGTATTACACAGACCTTGTGTTGCCCATGCAGCATAATCTCTGTCTGGCACTGAACTGTGTATTCTAGAGGAAAGCAACGTCAATATATTTAGAACAAAAGCTGCGGGATAAGAAGAGTAGTGCTTTCTCTGTCCATCTGTCAGTGACACAAATCATTAATAATATGGTCATCTAACAAGAATACCCTGGTATGAACTACAACAAGAGGATACATTAAAGAAATGTAATGAGAACACTGACAAGGGAACCCCACCCCAAAAAAATGGAGCGACAGCATCAAGAACTTTAAAGAAATTATTATCAACTTTAACAGCACATAGACAAAGCAGAGAAGATCCCTACATCTCCACCCACTTCACCATTGTGGTAACTAAGAGAAGAGAAGAAAGGGTAGCAAGAAAAGGAGGCAGACAAGGAGCAGAAGAACTGAGAATATTTTCTGTAAATATTCCATGCTCACCTGTGTTATTCCTAAAATCAACATCATCTGTGACAATTTCTTTCAGATTGACAATATTTGGATGCTGTAGCTGCCGCAAAATTTTTATCTCTCTGACAGCTGTAATAGGAAATCCTTCTTTTTCATTTTCCAAACGAACTTTTTTCAAAGCCACCAGATTGCCTGAGAAAGAACAATTAAATATCATTTATATATAATACACACACACATATATATATAAGGATACAGATTTATGGTTGTAAGAGAACTCCAGTGTATTTTATATGCATATTCATACACATATATATAAGGATACAGATTGATGGTTGTAAGAGAACTCCAGTGTATTTGTAGCAACTGTTTGGCAATGTTGTGGAGTGAGTAGCTATATGATGCACTTTCTCAACTATTTTCAGGGAAAAAAACTATAAAATGCTCAAAATTAAATCCCCAAAAAACTTGAAAAGATCTTATGTTTGTCCTGCCGCTTAACAGGGTTGTACTCGTTCTTCTTAAGTATCAGCTCAAACAAATAAAGTACCCTCTTCCACGCCTTCAGGTGTATTGGGCATACAGGGCGAGACCAACATTTTATAGACCTATAGGCACTCAGTGGGTGATGTGGTCAACATCACATCAGCCGCCTTTGCTTCCAAGGACTATTTCTGGTACCCACCCAAGGCTGGGTCGATCTGGGAGCCAGGGTCACTTTATTAGATCAAAAGAAGTCATCCTTGTTTTTGGCACCATTTTCATAATGACAGCAATGACATGCAGAATGATGCATGCGGTTTGTGAAGAATCACTTTCACTGCACACAGACACTTCCACAAGTGTTCCCAGTCTCCTGCTATATGTTGCACAATGAGAAACTCAGCACAGCGCATGAGCCCTGCAGCACAAATGAGAATCCAAATTTGTTTACCCTAGAATCACACGTGCAATAAATATTTATTTTCTTCTGTCGACAGCTTTACAAATTTGGAAATTCTGACTAGGCATCCATCTTTTCAGTCATCTGTTTTCCATTTTCAACTGTCATGGAGTTTTTAAACATGCACCTGGATTTAAGTATTCAACGCTTGCTCGATCCACAAGCCTAGGGGATGTTTACCATCCTTTTTATTATTCTGTAAAAAGACAGACAGCATAACCTGATCTAAAGCTGACTGTGACTTCCTGTGTGCAGCTGTAAACTTCAACACACCAGTAATAAGGGCACATGCTGATAAAAATAGAAGCTAAAACTCAAAGACAACTTACCACAAACATAAGAAAGAGACAGTCATCATTTTTGGCCACATTATAAGACAAGAAACCTGGAACCTGTCACACTGGGAAAGATGTAAGGAAAGACAATCAGAGAAAGACAATGACAGCCTTTTACCAGGGCATGGAAGAAAGTCAGCAGACGAACTGATAGACACAAGATGTGGCGGCGGGAGATCTCAAGATCTGGCGATGTATGCCCATGCCAAGTTGAGGTCACGTGAGTTACTAACCAAAATCACAGCACTTGGGACGTTGCCATTAGCGCTCCATCCCCATCTTCAGCAGCCAAAACAGAGCTCCAATAGTGATAGTACCAGCAGAAGTTTAATTACATATCCGCCTTGCCTTTCCACTGAGTGTTGAGGGGCGGCGAGATCCTCTGGTCCACTCCCCACTGTACCATTTTCTCCAGACCTTAATGATCAATGCATGCTTCTTTATTGTTCACCTACTCCCAAAAGCTTTTGAAAACTTACCATGCATCAATTTGTCAGGTGGCATGGCGCCAACAGAATGAGTAAATCAGTGTGCAAAAACATTTAATTTATAAGTTTTCTGCAGATAACTTTAAAAAAAAAAGGTCCTCACTACAAAATGATGGAAGAAAATGTTGAAAGCTTACCATTAACAGTGTCCTTTGCTTTATACACTTGACCGTATGTACCCTCCCCTATGATCTCAATAATATCAAAGACATCAATGCACCTCTCACTCCAATCGTTTTTCTGGCTAAGGTAGTGCCGACTGTCACAAATCCTGATAAGAAAAAAATTATGCATATGAATTTATCAACTCTGTATGGGTTCTGTATTTTTATAATTGTTATTATGCCTTTTAATTTGACCAAAATATTTTATCTGTCTTAGTATTTTTGTGAGCCGCTGTGGTGCAGCAGCTAAACACTCGCCTGCAGATTGGAAGGTCATGGGTTCACATCCTGAGGTGACTCTTTTTCAAGGACTTTGAATCCCAGATCAACCCAGCCATGAGTGGGTACCAGGTACAGTCCTGGAAAGTAAAGGTGGCCGGCATGGTGTTGACCAGAGTGCCGACTGGTCTTCAAAATATAGTTCTAGCCCAATATACACCCAATACGCCTGAACGCGTGGAAAGGGCTCTTTTTACTCATTTTGAATGGCATAAATATATATATATATATATATATATATATATATATATATATATATATATATATATATATATATATATATATATATATATATATATATATATACACACACACTTCTTATATTTGCTTTCTCATTTTTAGTCTGCTATTATTTACCCGTACTGATTAACAGATCTATAGTAGAGATACGAAGTATCCCCAGTTCACAGTGATGAAAAAGTGGTGGTTGGTCAAGTAACTAGACACAGGTTAAACAGGTGAGGAAGACGTGAGGTGAGCTGCGTGCGATAGAAAAGGTGATTTGTTGTGGGCTCGTTGAGGGCATATGTTTCAGTGGAGGGATAAAGGGCAGAAAAAGAAGATGATGTTGATGCAGGGCAACAACTTCACATTACAGCTGACTAGGTCCAATTTTCAACAGCTTGAGAACTGCTTGTCCCTCTATAGTCACTCTTAAGTCAATACATCACCACTCATAAATAACAAAAATCACTTTCTGAAAGTTAAAGCATCTAGCATGTCACTGACAATGCCCTCCCTCATGTGTCAAACGCTCATCAAAAATATAAACCAAACACTATATCTTCATCCTAATCACATGAACAGGTAAAACTAACAATTACTTTATGTCCAACTCTATGCTACCAATGTCAAACATGGATCCTTACTACAACTAATGAGCGCAACAATATAACAGATCTTAGCAGAGCTGCAGAAGTAACAAGCAGAGACACAATCATAAATGAAGATATTGGATGACTAGGGGTGAAACCAGTCACACAGTTTGTCAAAGAGCAACAAATGAGATAGTCTGACCATCTAATTAGAATGCCAAGGTGCCAGCTGTCACAAACAGCCTAGCTGAAGAAATATAATGAACTCAAGAGTAAGGGGAAGACCAATCAAATGTTAGAAAGACGGCATCAAGAACAGCCTTAAAGAAATTACGACACACTTATACAATTAGAGCAGCACACTAACAATCATTACACAATCGCCTGCCAGTTTTGGGTTTGAATCCTCACTGAGATGGACTTCTTCAAAACTAACTTTAGCACCCAGGTTGACCCGGCCTAAAAATGGGTACCAGGTAATGCCCTGGAAGGTAAAGGTTCCCATCACTGACACAGTGCCGACTGATCTATACAAATATGAGTCTGGGATTATATCCCTGATGCACCGCTGACATAAACAGGGTCGTTTTACTTGACTTGAACCTCTACTGCTTGTGTGCATACAGGCTGAATGTGTTAATTTACAGCAGTGAAGTTATGCTTCTGTAAGTTGGATTATCTTCACAGCACTCTGGACACATCCACAGGTGCTCAGATTTCCCTCTCAACATATTCATCAGCGTCGCACGGTTAATAGTGCCAGTCCTATGTTGGTTAACAAGACTTTGTGTGCGTCCGGTGAGATTCTCATGCTTGGCTGTGCCGATCTTCACTCCCAATTCTCGTATTCTTAGCAGTGATGTGGACATGTTGCTTCTAAAATTCTCACAATGTCCTATCTCTCTAAGGGCAATGACAATGTCTGCTTGATCCATGGGCCGGCCATCTTCAATTAATGCAGCACCTGCCAGTCTATCAGCTCTTTCATTACCAACACCTGCATCCCTGAAACGAATATAAAGGTAACTGCAAACACAGGAGAGTTTAACTATGTTTCTACCTTAGTTAGCCATCTTGTTGAGTATGAAAATGCACCAAGCAAAAAAACTCAAGGTGGTGAATTCATTTAACAGACGTGCCATCCAGTATACAAGTGCAAACTTTTTTTTGGAGATAACTGAAGATCATCTTTGGAGCTAAGGAGTTTGTGCTTTGTATGACACTCTCGACAGGCAGCTAGCTGTTCTGCAGAGAGAAACTGAGCCACATGGGATAGTCCAGGGCAATGAATCCACCCTCTCGACTTTAGCTTTAACATCATCAATATGCAAATGGATCAGAAACAACAGATTTTTAACCAGAACTTACTTTGGTTTCCGAACCTTTGAAGAGTTCTCCTTGCCAGAAGGTTTGCAGACATCATCTGGGACTGATGGTTCTAATTCATCCACCACTGGAGGGAGTGGAAGGTCACGCATGCTACGAGACTGACGTGGTACAGATTCCTTCGCTTTGGCTTGACTTTCCCTTAGTTACAACATATACAATAAAAATTAACTACTTTTACATAAAAAAAAAAAGAACATACCATAGATCATCCTGCATGACAATGCAAAGGAAATAATATTTATCAACTATATATATACCCAAAAAAAAAAACCAGTGGTTGCTTACCCAATAATTAAAAAAAAATTAGTTGTGTATCCTTGACAGGATGTTGCAGAACTAACCCCAGGTTTTTTTTTTTTGGCTGTTGTGGTTTTTCTAGGCAAATTTTACATTAGTAGTTCGCCACTGCTACTGAACGGTCAGCTCTCAGTACCACTGTCAAAACCAATGCAAGATAAATCACCCACAGCTGGGATCGAACCCGGCACCCAGGCATTACGAAGACTCTGACCCACTAAGTATAATGGGAAATAAAGAGTTCCCTTCCAGGTGACCTGGAAGGGAGGGGCAGAGAAAAGAGTGTGCTGTGGTGTCGATTCTGGAAACAGTACACAGCTCACTGAGTGGGTTCCGGGAGCCCTTTGGGGGGAGGAGACGGGGGGGGGGGGGGGGGGGGGGGGGAGGAGACGGGGGGGGGGGGACGGGGGGAGGAAAAACAGACACAGTGTCCGCTGACAAGAATATCATGAAAGGTGACTATGGATTTGCTGGTATCAAATGTGTTGGGCTAATCGTGCAGATATCACAGCCTAGCTGTAAATCACAATACTATGTATCTACCACATTTTAAAAAGACGAACAGAGAAGAAGAAGCAGGAGGAGGAGGAGAAAGTAATCTGTAACTACTATTTGCTTCCCTTATAATTTTCAGCAATTGAACTAGTTGGAGAACGACTTATACACACAGGTGGAGAGTTTATCTTACTACCTGCACTCTTAATATCCTGCCCAAGCTTTTGCTTCTTTCTATCTCTAGCCTTGCGAAGTATGCAGAGTTCTGCTGCCAGACTTGTTGCGTACTGCAGTGTTTTGGCATTGTGAAGTTTCGATCTTGAGGGTAAAGCTCTTGGAGAGCGATGTGAAAGATGACCATAACTACGACCAGGACTAGGTGATGGTGATCTTTTAATGTATTTACTTGGGCTGCTGGTCATCTGTGGAGCCGGAGAATACTTCTTACTGAAACAGAATGAAAAGTGAATCAGTGAGTTTCACAAAATAACAAACACAAACAAAAAGTGAATGTTTCAGCTTCAGAGACTTCATCAGCGCATACATAAATCTTACAAAACCATACAAATATATAAAATCACTTAACTGGCGCATCCCCAAGCAGCATCATTATAACAGGCAGCTAGGAGAAAGCACGAGCGTTTAAAAAAATGAAATCAAAATTTAAATATATATATTTGTCTAAATTTTTTTTTTAACACAAAAAAGGTAATGTTAAACAATAGAGCACAGTACAAACCAGTATGACGGCCACAAACAGACAGTAGCAGTTCTGAGAGGGCTGGACACACGAGGAAGGTGAAATTAGTAAATTGCAGTAAAGCTGTAAAAATATGGAAAGATATAAAACCAAACTAAAAGTAGACCAGCAAGTTTTACAATATAACAAACCTTACTGAAACGGAATAACAGGAACATGACATTAAACCATGCATTACAAAATCATCTGTCTGACATGAATGATATATAAATGGGGAAAGTACAGGGTTTCCTCGACTTATGACCAAGTTCTGTTGTGACTAACAGATCGTAAGTCGAACTGGTCTATGTCAAAATTATTTTTATCAACACTATTTTCATTTTAAAGGATTATTGTTTTTGTTTTTTTTATTAAATCTATTTATGTATAATTATTGTACATGTGAAAAATATATAGTATGTACTATAATTCGAACAAACTTTATTTTCAAAGGGTCACAAATAGGGCACGCAGGCCAGTCTCACATTCAGCCCTTCTAAACAAACATCTTTCACACAGCAGTTGTATTTTACCAATAAAGCATGTTATATTCATACAATAATATGCATATTATGAATATCAAGAAAACAAAACTACAAAAGCATGGGTGGTAAATGCAAGCACACACTCACACGCACGCAGAAACACACACACGTAGAACACACAGACGCATGCACAGAAGACAAACTGACGTAACACGCAGAAACACACACACATAGAACACACACAGACGCCCACACACATACACACATGCAGTTAGAAACACACACACATAGACACATGCAGACACATGTACACACAGACACATTCGCACAGACACACACACAGACACATGTACACACAGACATATTCGCACAGACACACACAGATACACACATACAGACACACACACACAGAGACAAATGCGCGCACACAGACACACACCCATACACACACACAGACACACATGCGGGCACAATGACAAACACACACAGACACACATGCAGGCACACGGACACGCACACAGACAAATACACACATACACATACAAACACACACGGACACGCACACAGAGCCACATAAAGACACACCCATAGACTCACTCACACACACATACATACACACACCCAGACATACACATAAACTTATATAATTACCCATATGTACACTCATACATACACAGATACATACATACACAAACACCTACACATATAGGCATACATACATATCATACACACTTCATTTAATTATAAATTAATAATACAATATTAACTGCATTTACGGTGGCATGTAATCACGTGTAAGCATGAACTGAAACAGTTAAATGAATAGGAACTCTTAGTAATTTTCAGATCAATTGGAAGATGGTTCCATAAATGAGAGGCAGAAAATGCTAAACTTGCTTAATATAAATCTATTCTAGGCTTAGGCAAATGAAATAAACTTAGTCGCTTGCTATTTGTAGGAATTGATTTAATCAACTGGAAAAGGTAGTTTGAGGTATTCTGAGATGGTATTTTGTGAATGAATTTGGGTGTTGAAAATTAAACGTTTGCTAAATGGCAAAAGTCTTAAATGTTCGTATAAGTGATTTTCTTCAACAAAATTTATATTGTAGACAAGGCATAAGGCCTGAACAGCGGTTTGACGTTCAATTTGGAGCAACCATCCCAAATAGTGGAGCAACAGTGAATATGCGATTGGATATAGGAGACGTAAAATATTTTACATGAATTTTCGTCTAGAAAGTGCTGAATATTGCTAAGTTGATAAACATTGTGCGCTATTTTTTTTCTGGGTTATGGCATCAACATGGGAACTCCAAGTTAAATGGCTATAAATTAAAACACCTAATGTTTTGTGTTTAACTACTTTAACAACAGGTAGTTTGTCAATGAAGAGCTCAAGCGGTGGCATGTCTAAAGGTAATGTTTGTAGCTTTTGCCTAGTTGTTATTACCATGGATTTCATTTTTTTAATGTTAATTTGCATGCGATTATCATTGCTCCATTTTATAAGATTATCTATTTCTTTCTGTAAGGGACGTTCCAACTCAACAGTTCAAACTCTAATACAAAAGTTCCAGGTACTTGTTAACCCTACCAATGTAGTTATCTTTATTTACTATATATTTCTTTTTTTTGTGTGGTTGCAAGAGCAGATGGTCTAAGTCACACAGGTTGTAAGTTGGGGAGAAGGTGTAATGATTCATTTCAAAAACAAAACAGTTTTTAGCTGTATGCCTTTAAAAATTATCAAGGACATATCTTATCAATGAAGAAAATGGGACTTCATTTATCTTCTCTGTGCACCCTAAAAAGGGTGGCTGACAGGCTGTGATGTGGTTTAAGGCTAGACTGTGATATCAGCACATTTTAGCTCAAAACAGGAGATTTCAGCAAACTCTTCATAAGTCGCCTCTTATTATATGCTTGTCTACGGAGAGTGGGTTGATCCTCTTCCCTTCTACTTTCTAAAGATGGAGCCACAGAACCTAGAAGGTTACTTCATTCATTTTCTAGATATGTTTCGGGTGTAACATGATACCACTGTCTCTGTGTCTACCGGATACCACTGTTTCTGATACATACCACTACCCCTGATTGATACTATCACTGACTGACTCCTGTCTCAAATTGATAACACTTCTCTGACTGATATGACTGACCCTGACTGATTCCACTGTCCCTGACTGAGACCAACTTGCCCCTGACTGATCCTACTGGCTCTGACTGACACCAATGTTCCTGACTCATAACCATTCTCTGACTGATACCACTGTCCATGACTGATACCACTGTCCCCAACTGATACCACTGTCCCTGACAGATACCACTGTCCCTGACAGATACCACTGTCCCTGACTGATACCACTGTCCCTGACTGATACCACTGTCCCTGACTGATACCACTGTCCCTGACTGATACCACTGTCCCTGACTGATACCACCGTCCCTGACTTATACCACCGTCCTTGACTTATACCAGTGTCCCTGACTGATACCACTGTCCCTAACTTATACTACTGTCCCTGACTGATACCACTGTCCCTGACTGATACCACTGTCCCTGACTAATACCACTGTCCCTGACTTATACCACTGTCCCTGACTGATACCACTGTCCCTAACTTATACCACTCTCCCTGACTGATACCACTGCCCCTGACTGATACCATTGTCCCTAACTGATACCATTGTCCCTAACTTATACCACTGTCCCTGACTGATACCAGTCTCTCTGACTGATACCACTCTCCCTGACTGATACCACTGCCCCTGACTGATACCACTGTCCCTGACTGATACCACTCTCCCTGACTGATACCACTGCCTCTGACTGATACCACTGTCCCTGACTGATACCACTGTCCCTGACTGATACCACTCTCCCTGATAGATACTACTGTCCCTGACTGATACCACTCTCCCTGATAGATACCACTGTCCCTAACTTATACCACTCTCCCGGATAGATACTACTGTCCCTGACTTATACCACTCTCCATGACTGATACCACTGCCCCTAACTGATACCACTGCCCCTGACTGATACCATTGTCCCAAACTTATACCACTCTCCCTAACTTATACCACTGTCCCTAACTTATACCACTGCCCCTGACTTATACCACTCTCCCTGACTGATACCACTCTCCCTGACTGATACCACTGTCCCTAACTTATACCACTGCTCCTGACTGATACCACTCTCTCTAACTGATACCACTGTCCCTTACTTATACCACTGTCCCTTACTTATACCACTGTCGCTGACTGAGAAACTGCACTGCACCTACACTAATCCCCAGTGAATATATGGTGAGCCGTATGGTACAGGGGGGTTTGATAAAAATTAGCCCCAAGCTGCTGTGAACAAGTCAGTCTTCTTTCTTTACCGGCTGTAAGCCCTGGTGGAAAGTCCTGGTTGTTTATCCATTTAGACTTTGCCTTTGTGCCAGGGTCTGAGTTTTGCATGTACATCCATTTTACTGGCTAATTTGTGTGGTAGTTAGATGTTCCTTGCCGCTCAGACAGATCCATTCTGACTTTAAAGGAAGCTGCCAGTTAGTCGACTCCTATGATATGCTTGTTGGAGAGGCAGTGGGTCTATTCCACACACGGCGAGCAAGTCAATATTATTTATTGTTCTTTGTAGAGATCATCATCATCCCCCCTCAGACATGACCATAAGTGCTCCGATCTCCTCCTGAGTATGTCTCCAAGTTTTTTAGGCTAAAAATTCTCATTCTGTTGTGGCTGATGTAACAATGGATGGCTCCAGTATGGTTTTCCTGTGTTGCGGCTTTAATTGGTACACACAGGGTATGCAGTCTGCTCAGTGAAAACAAAAAGCATTTTCCATGAAATTGAAAGCCTCACAAAGTTTAGTCTTTTATATGGCATTTATGATCGTCTCTCCTGTCCAGAGAGGCCCATTCCTGATAGTTGCACTGCCAGGCAGAGTGTCAGGAAGTCTGTCTGTCGATATTTGTTTGCAAGCACAGGCACCACTTTAATTCCATGTGGATGGACTAATGTCATCCCCACAACCCAACCCCGCTTACGCCCTATAGGTCAACCCCTCCCTCCCTCCTTAGACACTCAGTGTACGCTCTTGGCGTCAAACCCGTCCCTTTTTTTGCCCCTACCTGCGCGTTTGAGGTATATTGGCTGACCGTCATTTCATTGAACAAAGTTTTTTCGCCAGGGACACTAGATGAGTATCATTTATTCTATACATTAGAATCCTATGTAGTCACTTCATAGTTAGAGCCTATTTGTGTATGTGTACTGTGTTGTCCTATATGTGCTGATGAAGGCTAATCGCCGCAACGTCCTTTGTTTGTTTATTGTGATCGATTTTGTAAAGCTAACATAAACTAATTGTTGTTTCTTACCAACTTTTTCTCTTCCCTATAATTTTCTACTCCTTATAAAAACTTGTGTATCACAAGACAGAACTGAACTCTTTCATCTCCATGTGGGTTTCGTGGCCCCATTTTCAAGGGGGAAAAGAAGAGACCCTCTGCCACCTAACAAGCATTTCATACAAGTCGACCCATCAGGGATGTTTCTTTTGAGGTCCAATTGCATCTGCAGGAGAGCTAGGGAACCAACAGTTACAGATAATCCAGATTTGTCAAATGGATGTGCACAGCAGAACCAACCACAGGTTGGCTGTTTTAAGTTTTACTAGGCAATTTTGTGTTGGAGTAGTTTGTAACTGATTTCTGAATGATCAACATACTCCTGTCAAAATCAACCCAGGGCAGTCTACTGCCAACTCGTGTGCAGCTTGGATCAAACCAGGTACCTCAGAATTATGAAGCACATTCGCAATATCTAAGCCTCAGCAGACACAGGCTTAACCTGTATACATCTAGTATATTCACCATTTGTTTTATTTTAGTTTTAGAAAAACATTTCTATATAAAAGGCTCTGATTAACTATACTAAATGATAAATAAAATATGGACATGTCACATACAGAAGATGAAGTACTTACGGATTCTGAAGCGGACTACGTGAACGGTTTCTGCCATAACTATTTGATAGACCTCTGCTGTGTCTCTCCTCTCCTGTTTGTCTCTTATTTCCTGTGGTGTCTTTATAATCAGCAATATAAGCTTTTGGTAAATCAACATGTTCCTTTGGATCAATGGAAAAACTATTCCTTGAAGAATTATCATTATCTCTATACCTGATAGTGATAGCTGTCTTGTTGCGACTCCCTGTGTTGCTTTCATGATGACTGTTAAACTCTGGTGACAAATATCTTGGTTGTTTTAACTTCACCTTTTTGCTGCTTTTTGCCGGGTGTAGAGGTTGTGAATGGAAACTGTTGTTGTCCCTGCTATGGGATCTACTTCGACTTCTACCTTCACGGTAATGTCGCAAGGCAGTAGCTGGGGACTGTCGTTTTCTTGAAAAGTGATCGCGTCCTCGTCGCGTCTCTAACTCTTGATGTTGCTGGCGATCATAACTCCTTGGTCTACTTGACGGGCTAAGTCTTGTGTACGGATCATGGCGATACAAAACTTTAGATTTCCTCGCTGTCGAATACGACGGACTGACTGGTGTATCAGGATCTGAACTTACTTCGTCATGATACAGCACCGTTTTCTGTGGTCTTTCGTAGCGGTCTTTTGGACGTCTGCTGCTTGTTCTTTTCGTTGGTCGCTGTTCCACGTCGGTATAAAAATAATTATAATCCTGTTGTGGCTGTGCTGCCCCATGTCCTGGTGAAACGACATGAGCATAAGATCTGGCGTCGTATTCGTCGTATGCATGCCTCCGCCCGTTTCTGTACATGGTTGTGTGAAATTTAACTTAAAACAAATTACTAATCCATTTTTTTAGGGACTTTGTATATCATGTGGGCGAACTTCCGTTAAAAAATGAGTGGTGAGTCCCAAGCTCCTTCCCTTTTGATCAAATCCCAAAACTAGGATTCCGGTGTCTTTAATATTATCCTTGTTTAGCAACAACTTCTTTTAAATGTTTTTATATGCGTGTCATTTTTGTATTTTCATATATTTTTGCATCATTGTTGATTCAACCGTAATTGTAGTCTCAACTACAATCAAACTCGCGAACGTTGCAAAACGTCAACACAAGGCCAAGACGAATGCATTGTGGGTAGGAGTAATGTTGCCACCAGTGTTGCCACTTTTCTATGACAAAAAATATCCAAAACGGTGTCAGAAAATATCTAAAAAGATCTAAATCTGCGTGGAAAAGATCTAGAAAAAACATCCAAATTGAAAAAGTCAAAAATTACATAGCTTTTCTTATGACTTACCCTACATAATCATGTCCTCACCTTCACTGATGTCTGCCTCACAAGATCCACTGGATAAACTTTGCTTGGATAATGAAGTTAAAGCTTCAGATCCAAATTGACCTTGGTATGCTTTAGCTGTTCAAATTTCTTTATAAGTGGAACAGGAGGCTTATTTCTCTAGTCTCATCAGGCCGAATTTTAATGGCACGATAGCATTTAAGAGGTCAAATTTCATCCTGTTTTTTAGGTTAGATTTGATATAATTCCTAGCACTGAAAACTCTTTCTACGTCAGCATTTGAGTGGGGTAGTATCATGGCAGACATGGCACTTTAAAGAGCTTACAGAATGGACTGTTTAATGAGGTATCTTTAAATTGTCTCACTTCACTCCAAAACGCTTCAGTTTCTGTTTTGTTTGTCCATTCAGCTAACTTTATGTTGGTTAACTGATATTCTGCTTCCGCGACAATATTATCAGTAGCCCCTAAAAATTTCATAACTTTACAATATTTAGGTATGTCCTTTGTTGGCTGAAGTATGCTGCTCACAGAAAAAATTTAAATATTTTTCAAAACATCTAGATTTTCAGGAAGTCTCTGCTTCAATTGCTTCAATAATGAGATAAGGAAATCTTGACAGCATTTTCTCAAGTTGTTCTTTTCATTCTCTGTTAACAGTCCTTTTGTTTTTAAATCATCAATTTTTGATTCGATTTAATATCCAAGGTGTGGCTTAGGAGCCAAATAGCTCTCTATAGTGCAAGTGAGCAAATCAGCTTTAGAAGTTGGCAACACCAGTCTTTTACCGAGAGAAATAGCAAGGTGAGGTATATCATCAAGTAATTTAACTTTATCAAGTTTAGATTCGAACAGTTTATTAACTTTTTGCACTTCTATTAGAAAAGGTTATAAAAAGAGAATGAATAAAAAAAAATTTTCATCATTGTACATTTCATATAGTATTTCAGCTGTGTAGCACTTTTCACTTTGTCTTGTTATTTCAAAGTGTGTCTTCAACTTCAGCCATTGCTTCATAATTCTTTCAACAGCTGGTTAAATTGATAACCATCTAGTTTTGCAATCTGACAGAATTTTCGGTGGTGTGGGACCATCATTCAAGGCTGTATATGATGTATTGCTGTTGTCTGACAAATGATTTGGAAAACCAGTTAAGTGTTTCATCAATAAGGTATTCCAAATTCCTTGGTAAATATTTCGATGAAGCATGTGATAATGCTAAAAGGTCCTTCAGTTCCTAAACTATACTTTCTACACCAAACTTTTCAAATTGAACTAGTCCAAGATTTTTTACAAATAGATCAGATGGTCACAGTTTGAAATTGCGCAGTGACAAATTAAAAACATTGCGACTGATACTTCGACTTTTGATGATTCATTTATCAGTATAGTTCTGAAAACAGATGTCAGCGGTGTAATATCTTTAAATGAAACTGCAGTTTTGTGCTTTTTTTAGTCTCTGCATGACTCTTTGAGTTTTGTATTTTCGCGTCATATCCCCAGTTTTTAATATTGTCATCATGCAACCACTCTTTCCAATTTTTTTGCTCATACTTTACTTTTGGCATGTTGAAATGTTTTTTCAAAGTGAAAGCCACATAAGAAGGTGAGCAATTATTTTTTTAAATCACATGAAAAAGAAACACAAAGTCAGCACAATGAGGATACGGTTGAAACAAAGTTAGTATGATTTACGTGCGTTTTTATTAATCAGTACCGGGGCTGCCAGATAGTTGTGAGTTCAAAGTTCAAGTAATGGCAGTTGTCACAATGTACATGCCAGACCAAAACAAAAATATTGTAGTAAATATTTTACACAGTAATTATTAAATTGACAATGAAAGAACAAAAAAATCTATAAAATATCTAACTCCATATGAAAAGAATCTAGAAAAATATTTACGATCTAAACGTCAAAAACAGTATCTAAATGTAATGAAAAAGATCTAAATTTGGATATAAAAGATCCAAAGTGGCAACACTGGTTGCCACTTTTCTCAAAAAACATCTAAATTTGCGTGGGAAACATCTAAAAAAAACCTTCCAAATGGAAAGTCACAAATTACATAGCTATTGAAATGACTTACCATATAGAATCATATCCTCATCTTCACTGATGTCTGCCTCACAAAATCCACAAGATGAACTTAGCTTGGATTATGAAGTTGAAGCTTCAGATCCAGGCTTGATCGTAATCTCAAGGACATTTTAGTCAAGAGTCGGTTACGCCCAGCGTCTGAGCCCCACTTCGGCACTGTCTCTTGCCACAGACCTGCATGCAGAACCTGTCCATATGTGGTCCAGGTGTCTAGTCTAGAATTCCCTAACGCCACCTTACACATACGTGAAGTATTCTATTGTACCAGCCGCATTGTCATTTATGCCATCAACTGCAAAAGGTGTGACATGAAATACCTTGGTAAAACAGGTCTACGGCTGGCCGACAGGTTCAGACAATATCTTTTGGATGTGCAAAATGGCGCTCTGAAATCAATACCGTTGCACTTCAATTCCCAGGATCACCAAGGTGTCCTCGACATGGAGGTGACAGCCATTAAATCCAGCCATCTAGCCGGTTGAAAGAAGCAAGAAGTTTTTCGTTTTTTTTTTACCAACACCAGTTACCAGTTACCAGACAGAGTCCGCAAGTCTCTTAAGAATCGCTTTTTTTATTCTCTAGGGACTTTTAACACCCTCCGGATTGAACTGCCCTCACAGTTTTATCTGCAACCCCCCCCCCCCCCCCCCCCAGTTATGGCCCTTGGTACTCTACAGGGGGTATTTATTCAGCTGAAGTGTTGCACACGAGTGCATAATATTTCACGTCCTTTTTGTGATGAAATTTTTCTTTATTTGAAGCCCTACTCTGGCTCTTGCCAACCGGCCGCAATATAGCCTGACCATACATATGGCCTAAAGGCTGAACGCGGTTTCTGGGATCTCTCCACGGTGATCCTCACCCACATGGTGGCACATTGTGTCATCAGGTGTTTATCGCTTATGTGATGTCCAGGTGGGGTAGAAAGTCAGTCAGTCAGTCAGACGTGTAGTCATTCTGTTGAGAAACAACCGACCCGACTGCCTCGAGATACCAGCTAAGTGATTTTGTGTTTCTGTGTAGTATTGTTTCATCTGTATGTGTTGATGAAGGCTCAATAGCCGCAAAGTTCACGTTTTGTTTGTATTTGTTATATTTTGAAGCTTGCTTATATACTTTTTGTTCGGTTTGATATTTTTTCACAGAAAAGAGTGAAATATTTTTCAGTACGTCTAGATTTTCAGGAAGTCTCTGCTTCAATTGCTTGAATAATGAGATAAGGAAATCTTGACAGCGCTTTCTTAAGTTGTTCTGTTCATTTTCATTTTCTGTTTACAGTTCTTTTGTTTTTAAGTCATCAATTTTTGATTCGATTTAATATCCAAGGTGTGGCTTAGGGGCCAAACAGCTCTCCACAGTGCAAGTGAGCAAATGAGCATTAGAATTTGGCAACACCAGTCTATTACCAACTAAGTAAAATAGCAAGGTGACATAGTCAAGTAATTTAACTTTAACAACATGTTTAAATTCGAACAATTTTTTAAAAAACTTTTTGCACTTTCATTAGAAAATGTTGTAAAAAGAGAAGAAATGCCAAATTGTTTTTTAATTACTGTACATTCAATATAGTATTTAGTTGTGTAGCACTTTTCACTTTGTCTTGTTATTTCGAAGTGTGTCTTTAACTCCAACCATTGGTTCACAATTCTTTCAACAGCTGGTTGAATTGATAACCATCTAGTTTTGCAATCTGACAGAATTTTCAGTGGTGCGAAACCATCATTTAAGGCTTTATGTGAGTTACTGTATTGCTGTTGTCTGACAGATGATTAGGAAAACCAGTTTTATGTTTCAGCAAAAAGGTATTCCAAATTCCTTGTTGAACATTCAGATGAAGCATGTTAGCTACAAGGAATGACACATATTTTATATGGATTAGAGATGGGATATCTTCCTTTAATTTAACATAAACGCCATTGTTGATACCAATCATCACCGAGGCATTATCGTTACCAATTGCAGACAAATTCTTCGAGTCTAATTGTTTGCTGATCAAAAGTTTCTCAAGTTCCTGATCTATACTTTCTGCATCACACTTTTCTATTTGAAATAGTCCAGGATATGTAGAAACTACTTTGCCTTTACTATTGCTGTAATATATAATAACACACCAAGCACTTCAAGTACAGAAATGTCAATATATCACAGATCAAATCTTGTTCAAAGTAAGAAAATAAAGTATTTCTTATAATGTGTGTACACATGCTGCGATACATTTTTACGTCATCAATAACTTTACTGTCAGAAATAGTGTTTTTAAACAAATCAATCAAATGGTCACAGTTCGAGATTGTTTAATGACAACTTTAAAAACATTGCGACAGATCCTTTAACTTTTGATGATTCATTAATCGGTTTAGTTCTGAAAACAGATGTCAGCGGTGTAAAAATCTTTGAATGTAACTGCAGGTT